TAAATCCTCACATTTGCATTTCAAAGCAATTATTAATAAAATAAAGAAGCAAAAACTAAATATATGAATCATCTCATTTGTTTCCTGCAGTTGTGACATTCTGGTGTTTGACCACTATGTGGCAGTAAGACATCAGGTCTCAGAGAGGATGTTCTGTTTACAGCAGCAGCATGACTCACATCACTGGTATGACCTCTACAATATATTCATTAAGTTGATTTGTGAATGTACCAGCTCAGTGTGCAGCGATTAACACCCACTTATTATTGTTTATAGACTAAATGTGCTGTGGTTGTATTTCACTTCATTACTTCCTGAGTTTTAAACTCAGTCCCAAACATTACAGAAGTTCCATTCTCTCTTTGTCCTTCATGCTACTCAACCAGTTTTGTCTCTTGATCAGTATCGAGGTCTGAAAGCTCTGCCCGGCTCAGTCAGAATCCATCCCTCCTTCCTCATTCCTCCGTCACGCCTTTCTTTCTTTTTTTTCCGCCCAGTTTGCTGAGCTCTGCTCCATCTCTCCTTCACCATCTTGTGTACTCAGCTTTCTCTTGGTTCAGCTGTGGAGCTCTTATCCTCCATCGTCAGGGAAAAGCAGCTCCACTATCTACCTGATCCAGGGATTTCATGTAAACAAGACAGCTATGCTCCCTATCAGCCCTGATACAGATCATCAGGGCCGTCTCTAGTGACCTTGGGGGCCCTAGGCAAAGGGGACTTCAGGGTCCCTACATCGAACCAAACCGACTTCCAGATTATGAAGCTGCTCATGACAATTTCCTGCTTTGCCTGCAGTCTAGGAGCCATAGACTGTAAATAAAAATGGACAAAGACAAAGACTCTACATCCAGAAAGATAATCCAATGCAGAAATGCTTAAAACAAGTATTCTCATGAAAAACCAGCAAAGGGAAACTTCTGGTTGCAAAAAGAGATCCGTTCATGTAGAAGTAAATAAGTAAATGATTCTACTTTTCACTTTAGAACTTCACTAAACATTTTCCAAGTCCTCAATACAAGATGATGTTCATGTGAGTAAAATAGACCAAAAAGCTCGGTATGATTTTTGTAGTGGATATCCAGCACCTGCAAACCACCAGAACCAAAAATTGGATTCAAATATATTGTGGTGGCATTTAAGCCTCAATAATGCATTTCACTTTTCCAGATGTTCATTGTTACCCCATTATATTTTCAGTGCATGCATGATTAACTGAGCAGAGGAGATTATTTCTCTTTTTCAAAGTGCTCATACCATCCAGAAATACTATCTAAAGTTCGAGAAAGAGAAATAAAAATCCATAATTTGTGTGACACAAGCATTTTTACACAGTTGTGACTTTTTAACAACATTGTTTATTATCTTAAATGTAATCAAACAACAGTAGTTACAGAAATTACAGACAGCCATGATACTGTGTGGTTTTATTGTGTGCTGTGGATCGCCATGATAACATATAAAAAACAAAGCCAGAAGGAAAAATAATATCTCATTTCTTCACACTGAGCTCTTCACATTCAGCTCGGGCAATCGTCATTCAATCCAACCCATGAGTCTGAGGATGAAGAACAGCACACAGCAGTTACCCATGGCAACAACAGCACTCGTCATCATCTAAACGACATGTTAGGAAAGTGGGAGTAGAAGCAATTAGTCGAGTGAAGGTTTCTGCTGCTAGACGACCTGCTGCGTGATCGTAAATGGTTTTGAACAAGACTCGTTACATCGTCAGCCACATTCTCTGCCTGCACCTTTAGAGTGGTGAGAATCACACTTGAAGCTTCAGGTGGCAGCGAAAAACAAACAGATGTCCCGAGCATCTGCAGAGAGCATTTCTTCTCATGGATTAAATCTGACAATATTTTAAAGGAGACATTTTGTGCATATTCGAGTTTTTTCTTGAAAAGGTTTACATGCTCTAATGTTCAGGTCACATTTCTGCAGCTCCTCTCTTCAGCCTCTGTCTGAAACACTTGGTTTTAGCTCCTGTCTCTTTAAGGCCCCCTCCCCATACATCCCAGTCTGCTCTGATTGGTCAACTTTGTCAGGGGACATGCCAAATAAGCTGCTAGATGTATATTACGCAAATATGGGGTATCGGTATTTCACTTGACGTCATGACGATGTGGAAGTATTGGCCGAACTACTGTCGCAGCGTTTCAGGAGCTTCAGTGTTTTCTGTGGGACAGAGCAGCTCCCTTTACCAAAAACTTAGGCTTTTAAAACTTTGTAGAACTTTCACATTCACAAAAAGAAAAAACCTATATAACCCACCGGAGGAAAGAAACACTAAAAAAGCATCATATGTCTCCTTTAAAAAATATCTGTAGGCAGTGGCCTGATAAATTCAACCATCAGTTCTCTCCTGGACGCTGCAGGAAGTTATGAGGAGTCATAAAATATATGGTTTAAAAAGCAGAGGTTTGTCCTCTCAGGCCGACACCAGTGAGAGTTATGACAGAGGGGTAGGTTTGATGAATGAACACAGCCAGTGAGTCATTGATTTGGTATTCAGACATTGTGGCGCTTGTGTATCTTTGGGTGTGTAGCGAGAATTAAATGCTCTCATAGCATTTACATCATCTGATGGGAGGCTGCGTCAGCCTCCAGCTAAGCCACGCCTCCTTGGTTACTGTTGCTATGCTTGTCAAGCTTTCTGTTCTCTAACGTACATCACGTGTGTGGTTTACAACATTCCCCACCTATGTGCAGGTAGCCACCATTTTTGTTTTAATTAAAACAGAGGTGCAGTTTGGAAAACAGGTATAACTCCACATTCTGAATGGATTCTGAAAACACAGCACGGACATTTGAAAGTGTTTTAAAATATTTGTTAAATGTTTCAGGTTAATTGTATTTTAGAGACTCAACAAGCTGTGTAACAGTCGTAACTGATGACGCACTCCAAAGCTGATTGGAGGATAGCTGTTAGTGGGAGGGTTTTAGAGGAACAACAATGCAAATGGCAGAAAAAACTGTTTACCACCGACTGAGCTGTGTGATGTGTGTGGTACTCTGGGTAATGAGGTGGAGCCGAGGGGAGACTGAGGTAAATATTTGAAAATAAAACACGCTCAGATGCTGATTAGTCTTTGGTCTCAATGTGATGATGACAAATAGAATAAAATAAAAAAATATCCAGGTGCATTTTCAGTGTCAAACTGAACAGGGGTGATATTGCACGTTTAATTTTTCAGTAGGATTCCAGGATATCGATGGCGTCGGTAAAAGGAGTCTACAATCATTGGTGTAAAACATGATTTTGTCTTAAAAATAATGTTTAACAGTAGAAATGAGTTTGAATTTGCTCAGTCAGAAGCCTCGTGTTTTGATAGGTGATAGAAACGATTGGAACAATATTCACATTTAGGTAAAAAAAGTACAGAAAAAAAGGCCACTCATAAAAAATAAAGTTCTTCAGTACTATTACTGCTATTCTACAAATGTTTGCCATGGATTACCTGAATCTGCAAATGTTTTGGCCTTGGTATGTACATGTATGTGTTGTATTGATGAGTTGCTCATGATTGTTAAACATGGACACAACTGGTTATGCTGGCAACATACTTGTAAAAGGAAACTACACTGTAAAAAAGAAAAATCAAGAAAAACTCCACTGTATCCAGGTACTTAAGATTCAAATCAATAAGAATCAAGTGTGCAGAGCCAGCTCAAACATACGCACCCGTAAAGCAGGTGGATATCCAGTCTCTTGTGTAAACTGCTCTCTTTTGCATTCACTCACACACACAAACACACACATACACTTTAGAAAATATATTCACACTCACAAGCGCCTGTCTTGCAATTTTGCATTAGTACCACAAGTCAAATGAGAAAAAAAAATGTGCATGGGAAAAAATGTGCAAACCCTCATCAGGGAAAGAAAATGGCACGGCAGTAATGAAAAAAAACAAAACGCTAAACTAAAATGGTATCAATGACAAAAGGAATCAAACAACCAATCGAAATAGAGAGAAGGAAAGAGCGTGCCCATCACCCACTCAAAACCCCCCCACTGATATATTCTCAGTGAACAAAACAAAAAAGATCTTACACTTCATTTTCAGAAAATGAAACCAGCCAAACATCACAAACACTTTCACTGCTCAGAGCCTCGCTCTGACGGGAGTTCATCTCGTGTCACGCCACGCAGCCTCTGGAAAAGTCAATTACGCCTGCTATTGTATTGAAAATCAATACCGACGGTCTATATAGATACATGTGCCAACCCCTTTGAAAACAACCGACTGAGAGAAGAAAAGAAAAGGTGAAAACCTGATGGATATACAAAGGCTTATACTGTATAACCCCACCGACAATAAAGTGGAAATCTCTGTTCACATATTGTTTCAGAAAATATATATATTGTATAATTCACCCTGCTCCCCCCCTCATCACACACACCAGCAGCAGTCAGGCTGTACAATCCCTCCATGGCAACGTGACAGCAGCCGTAGAAACCCTCGACACTGTTCCCTCCCTCTGTCGGTTCCAAGCAATACGTCTGTCTCGGTCGGCTTTCATGGTTTTCTCGCTTGCCCGTATTAGCGGCTGCTGCATCCCGTCTCATCTAGCGCTCAATGGGCCGGTACGTCAAGTTTAAACGAGTCCACGCAGAGCTCATCCTGGAGGGTCCTGGTGAGGAGGGCCGGCACGGGAGGAGGGGAGGGGGAGGATGCAGGGATGCGGACACCCCCTCCTCCCTCAGCACTGCTCGGACTCAATGAAGCCGTCCTTCTCCTGGCCCACCGGCTCCACCTCCGCGTAGGCAGGGTGACCTGACCCCCGGCGGAACTTCATGGCTGGCCACCTGCTCGGGCGTCTCTGCAAGAGTGGACAGGAGGAGTGTTAGGTAGGTCAATAACTGCAATAAAGGTCAGAGTGTCATCAAGGTTAAAGGTGATAGCCGAGCGTCACCTCTGTCGATATGTCTGGTGACATATCTGACACTGAAATTTAAAGTTCATCCCTGACCTTGGTAAGAGAAGGTGACAAGAATGAAAGCACCAGAACAGCCACAGTTTTCAAACCCATCATTTCACATGGACATGTCGCTACGCACCTCAATGAGGAAGAGGCTGGCGGCGGAGGTGGGGTGATGGTAGATGTAGACGGTGATCAGGACACCAGCAATCATGACGAGCATCACCATCAGGATACCGAGGATCAGACCGGTGTGCAGAGGGTGTGTACCAGGCATCCTGCCCACAGCGCTGTCAGCTGAAGAATTTAGAAAAATGACATGACGTGAGATATATAATGTCATACATCCTGCTTTAATACTGGGTTATTTGCTTTTTAAAAATGCAGTTTCTTTTTTAACCAGCAGGGGGCACTCACAATTCATCTATTTCCTTTTTAAAATGGGGATAATTGTTGTCAGTTTTCTAAATGTCACCAAATTGACAAGACAGATATTTGATTTTGAAACATTAACAGTGACATTTCTACTGTAAATCCTCCCATGGAACATATATACACTCATTGTCACTGGATGTAAAAGGGTTATTATGTCTTAAATCAGGTGAATTCCTTCAATTTGAGAACAGATTCAAGGTTTAGATTTAAATGGAGTCTTTAGCTCTCTCCTGTTTGTGTATTCATGCGCAGTTCTCCTCTCTCGCAGAAGAGGTAATCCCACGCCAAGGTTAGCAGCGTATGGTCCTGATAGGAGCAGGAAGCCGGCCTATAGACGCTGATCCAGAGTCCTATCCTAGCCTCCAGTCATGGCGGTGCTAACTGAAGAGGCTGTATGTAGCGACTGCATAATAAGCCCGTCCTTCAGCGCGCCTTGGAAGTCAACACTCGTCTTTTTAAAGCACTTTCTCAGCTCCAGAGAGCTGGAGCCACCAGGCAGGTGTTGTTGAGTTCTTTCGAAGGTGATAAGAGTGTCCTGTAACCTGTGGGTAATCTCTGTTTACATCTATGGAGACAGGGTTTCACGGGAAAAATAATTTCACCTGCGATAGAGAATAAAACTACAAAGAGAAAGTGTCCACAGTGTGGACACCTCCCTGATCACAGCAGAGGAGAAGTAATAAAGTTATTTTGATACCAACACCGTGGATTCTGCTCAGATCCATTCATCAGGCTGCAGATTCTAACCTCTCCCCAGACTCCTCCTGTGTTTAATTGGCAGCTGAAGCCCCCCCGGTCCCTGTCTCTATTGATTATTTAACACAGACAATAACCGAGTGGTAATATAACCTGTCCACTGCGTGTGGTTCACTAGAAATCTAAAAAGTTCAATATATGAATGATTTACTGCTGGAACGTCACTTGTAGACTCAACTCAAAATGAACTGATTACAAGGCGGCACGGGGGTGCAGTGGTTAGCACCCACAATAAGATGGTTCCTGGTTAGACTCCCATGTCTGAGAGGGTTTTCCCCTGGTAGTCTGGCTTCCCCCTGCTTAATTGTAAACTCTTAATTGACCTCAAGTGGGAATGGTTGTTTCTGAACTGCTGCTTTCAGACTTGCAATGAACTCCAGATATTTCCCTGAAATTATCTGAAGGGGCTGTTTGCAAATGTCCGAGTCAGTTGCTCCAGACGATTCCGGGAACTTTTCCTTCCATCCCCATCAGTAAAATGTCCAGAGAATTAAGTTTCTAACATGCAATGGACCCAGAAGTGGAAAAACAACAAAGAACACAGATATCTCAGGTTGAAAAAGCTGGGATTGGCTCCAGCCCCCAACCCCACAACCCCTGATGGACAGGTGGTGTAGATGGAAACTCAGTCGTACTTTTCAGAGAAAAACAACTTGAACAACAGAGAGAAGGACACAGTGACATTTTCTTTGTTGTGTGTATTCCTCATGCTCAAAGTCTGAGGAGGGTTATTTTTATTTATTTTTCTCAGAAAGACATTTTTCCTGTGTTTATATGTCAGAGCTACAGAGACCATGAGTCATCTCTCGGGCAGCTGGAAGCACAAACAATGTGACACGCTGTTAAGTCTGTGGCGTTCGTAGGTTAGCGGGGGGGGGACACGATGAAACACAGCGGAGATACAGAGACAATAAGGAGTCAGCAGCCTGGCAACTAAACAACCAGGGGGAGGTCTCTGTAGACCCCTGGAGGAGCTCAGACCGCCGAGACCGTTTAATCTGGAATCTTATGAGGGATAAGACACAGCACTCAAAATATCACTGGGGCATAGTGGGCTGATGAAATTCGACACGTCCTCTGAAAAATGTCCTGAATTTGTCTCCACCAGCTTTGTCCTTATGACTGTTCAAGCCTGAGGAGACTGGGTTAACACTAATGGACAGCAGAGCTCTTCGACAGCAATAAAATGCATTAGAGGATTTTTTTTTTGGAGAGGACAAATGAGAGCAGTGGAAATGCAGCCAAACTTTTCTTTTTCAGCTCCACAGCTGTGCTCAGCTATTCTCTTTCTTTGCTATAATGGGTTTTAGGAGGTCAACAATAGAAACTGAGTGGACCTACAGTATAACTCAGCCTCTTTAGAAATGGAGGCTGCAGATCGGGGGTGCGGAGAAGACACCTCCTGAGTGAAGGTGGTTCAATCCTGTTTCAGCTGTAATCACCTCACGTGCATTTCTCACTGCGTCAACGTCAACGTCAAATGTCGTTTTGACATTAAATAAGGAAATAAGGTGTGTGTTGAAAAACAGTTTGATACATAGGGAATATTAATGTTAACTTCTTTTCTTACAAGAATAAAAGTGTCTTAATGATAAGAACTTATTTACATGAGTCTTCAGTATCTTTGTGTCTTTAATAAAAACATTCAAAACAAAGTAAAGGAAGCGTAATAGCCGACTGCTGGATAAAGTTTATCAGCTGATTGAACCAAAAAGATCAAAACACAATCAGGGACCTTAATGATGCAAACAAAACACACACACACGGACCTACCCTGGTTGTCTCGGAGATGCAGAGCGATCTTCGTATCATCTGCGGAGACAAAGACAGAAACAGACACGAGCGTCAGACACAGTGATCAATATTTCTCTTTGTAGTTTGTTTTTCGACGGTCTGACTAAATAAACAATCCCCCGAAGGTCCCATAATGAGATTAAGCTTCTTTCATTAGTAAACCATCTTCCTTTCAACATTTAATTTACTATACTTACAATCTGATTAAAAATTCATGCTTTGAATATAATAGTGTGGGATACATAATTCAACACACTCGAGGAGTCTGGGGTTAACTATACGTGTGAAATATGGAAATGTGGTGTGACCCACTTCTCGAAGGGTAGCGGGCGTTTACACACGCCATAGGATTCACATTATGCAAATTCAGCACATACACACAGATAGATTTCACTGAATGATTTATTTCTATTTCGCTTTACAAAAGAGGAAATGCAGACACATTTTTGGTCTGAACGAATCATTAAGTGAGTCATAAAAGTTAGTCAATCACACAGTAGAGTTAGGGCCATAATTTATGTTCAAGGAAAAGAAGCATTTCTGTACCTGATTTCACAGAAATATCTGTATTTAGGTTTATACTAGAAATAATAAAATCCACCTTAAGTCCATAATTTTCTGTATCTAATCGTTAAAAACAATTATTGGTTGACCAATATGAGCCTTTCACTGACATACTGTTATCTGCATTTATATTTGCCAATATTAAAACTCATTTTACCGAAATTCACAAACTAAACATTATCATTTACAAGATTTATTGCAGAACTTATCCAAAATGAGATCATAAGTTTCCACACCCAAACACCCACACAGATACATTTTTCTTTTCTTGTCTCGATAACTTTATTTTCCATCCAGCTGCAGGTTGACGTCAAGAGCATGAGCCACCCAGCTTGCACTCTAACCTGACCTTTGACCCCTGCAGCTGAAGATACCGCTGAATGAAAACTGATCCTCTGTACGTGTCAACAGTCAGGAGTTTCTCGGTGTCGGCTACCCAACAAATACCACGGTGTGACCCCTAGATCTCCTCCACACACACACCAAAGACATTTTATTCCTCGCACCACACCCTGGTTTGATGTGTAAGACGACTTGTCGTGTTTTGCCTCACAGCTGGACAGCTTTCACAGCCCTCTCCAAACTCACTGCATCCGTCCTCATCACAGCGGTCCACCGAGAAACCCAGCTGTGATGGAGTGTCCATTTAAACACAACGCCCCCGCGATGGAGATGCATTAGAGAAAATGCTGGCTCCTGCCTCAGTTAGTGACGGGAAGTAAATACATTTTATGAAAATGAAATAATGGATGACCAAGGCCTGAACGTAGGAGGCTTTAAAAAGCTCAACAATGGAGATGGAAGCATTGTGGAGCAGACACAGCAACTCTGCACAAAAGAGTCTCTTTACAAATCACATTTTCAGGAACATTTTTATGGAATTAATCATTTTGAAAGTAACCTGAGATTTAATAGTAAGAGAATTGAATTGTGGGTTTCATAACTTGAATGTGTAGTCTGGTCTATGACCCATCCACTAACATGGAGGAAGGATTTATAACATGTACTGCAGCCAGCCATCAGCTGGCGATAAAGATGTTTGGCTTCACTTTGGGGGAGCAGTCATGTCATCCATCCTTATGCACAGTCTACAGTTGACACACAGTGACATGACGTTATCGGAGTTGTTAGCTGGTTCCTTCATTTCATTTTTGATTCAACTGCATCACATCTGGAGCTGATTCAGAAAAACTGCCCATTGACTCAAAAACTGTTCCCAAAAAGCCATCAAAAGTCAATTGAGGTGAAAATGGGCGCAATAAATTCAGCCCGCTTGTAACTTTCACTTCTTCGGAGACAGAGAAAAAAAAAGAAATGCAAGTAAACAAACTTTAGAGGACACCTTGGTCGTTTTCCTATCATCAGCAGAAGCATTCCGTCTGCTCCTGTTCAAAGAGGATTTGCATCAGATGATGCTGAGATTATGCTGCAGTATGGTCCGGGGTCAGTCTCCCGCTGGGGTGCAGTGAATCATGTGCTTCAGACTTTACGCCGCAATATCAAAAGGGCACGACCTGCCAGACCTCTGCTGTGTGAGGAAGAGAAACGACGAAGAAGAAGGGATCGAAGCACATCAGGACTGACACATGAGGTATTTTATCTCTGGATACATATCTACTGTAAAAGTTTGGTCGAAAACATGTGTTTTTCTTGAAGTTTTCTGGTCAGACTTGGAGGGATTCAGAGTTTTTGTTTTACATACAGCAGTTGGCACTTTTGAGCAGAGCCAAGCGACGTGATCACAGGTTTGCGTGGGTGCATCTATTCTGGACCGGTAAGATGTGTCCTGATTCAATCTGCGTTGTTTAAAAGTGGGTACAAATACAGCTGCTGCACTTTGCTCCGCTGGCTGCCATCTGGAATCATTTCTTTTTTATCTTAAGTGGAGAGAGCTGGAGAGACGCTCTCTCCAAAAGAGACAAGTGTCTTGTTCACGTTATAAAAGAGGAAACGCATCAATACCAATAAAGAACAGTTACAGCAAAGTCACTTCATTTAGCATTCTGCCAGCGCAGAGTGTCCATTAGTAGTTTAAAGAAAGCTCTGGGCTCTGACACACTGTGCACCTTGGCGTTGTTCCAGCTCCGCTCTCTACTTTACCTTCGGTGGGGACACTGGTGGGAGGGTGGGTGGTGGAGGGTCTGTCTCGGCCTGCAGTGGTCTCGCTGCTCCTGGACGTTGTTTTGGCGACAACAGTGGTGGTGAAGGGGTAGAGGTACGTGGTGTCGATGATGTCGCACATCTTGTCCTTGGTCTGAAAGATGACAAATGTCTCAAGTATATCACCACTAGCAAGCTGGAGGAAATCACTCTGGTCATCTTGAACACTCACCTCATCTGGACAGCTGTTGTCCACCCAGTCCTGCCGGTGGCGGTCGAAGCCACTGGAACATCTGGGGGCAGAGAAAACACTGTCACAGTGGAGTTTGAAACCAACTACCACGAAACACAAAGGACAGTGGAGGTGATGGGAACGGTTCATTGGTTTAAAAGTTTTTGTCATAAACTGAAGTTTTGGACAAATAATCTTGACCTGATTTAAAATGTTAAGGAACGGTTCATTCATCATTCTGGGGAACATGGAACACCATGTAACTTTTAATGAACAACAGCGCCCTCTGCAGCCAAACGTCAGCTACACACGACTCGCTCACCAAAGCTACAAAGAGCATAAAACATGCAAACTCATCTTGAAATTGTTATTGTAGGTTAAAAAAAACTGCATAGTTTTGCTTTAAAACATCTGCACAACTTCCTGAGGTCTGGACTCGAGGAGTGTGAGGGGCCATCAGCCTTGCACAGTGTGAAGATAGGATCCTTGTGAGGGTAGTGCAGAGGCTCATGGGGCCTTGGAGTACTGTGCATCGTGGTGCGAGGCTTCTAATAACCTCAAAAGGCAGACGGTAATCGAGGCGGCAGCTGCTAATCCTCCGTGCTCTAAACAGATCAAAATTATAACTCACCCACTGGTGAACTCGCATTTCGTCCGTCTCGGCCCTTCGCCACAAACAGTATCCCATCTGGCCGGACGAGTTAGTATGCAAAGCAGTCACCACTCTCACACCACACTCTGTCTAATGAAATGCTTTTTAAAAGCTTTTGGTGGTATGCTAATTATTTCTCATTGTAGGTGGATAAATAAAAACAACCTATGACTGACTCACAGTGCAGTGGTTTAAATCGAGCCCTGGCATCTGTGCTGTGAGGACAGAATGAGTCCAGTCGAGTTCTGCACGTCCCCAACAGACCACATTCCTCTACCCAACATAACGTTATGGTAATGACTTTATGAGAGGGAGTCCATTTTCATCTTCCTCCCTCTCTGATCATCCCATTCCTTTTATTTCCCCCCACCGAAAAGTTCAGCCTCATCTGCTCAATCAGGCGAGACAGATTCCTCCGGTTAATCCCCCATTTTTCCCCGACTGCTTTTCACCCCCCAAGAGGGAGCAGAGCGAAGCAGAGTGAGACACAATATCACCGACATGTTTGGTCTAACCTGTCCCTGAAGGGAGCTCGTGTTTTGTTTCCCCTCAATGGCATCAGTCCCAGCCAGTTGCCATCGAATGCAGTCAGCCACGGTGCTTTTAATTAGAAATGCACTGAGGTGCTTCATTTGAATATAAATGAATCCATGAGGGAGAACGTTTCTTTTCTCCAAGTCTCCCTCAGGCATCACAGGGTGGGATAGATTTTATTATTGGGTTTCAATCCCACTTCTTCAGATGCCACAGAAGATTAATGGAAAATAAACAAGTAGTTATTCTTTGTTATCACTGGTGATTAACCCAGTGCATGAGTGTACTTCAAGTTATAATCCGTGTGATTTACTACTATATGCTAATAATTGAATTTAATCTATATTCCCCACAATCCCCACACTAACAGGCAGCACTGTCGCCTCACAGCAGGGTTGCTGGTTCGGATCCCAACTTTGTGTGGTTTTTGTCACAGTCGGGCTTCCTCCAAAAGACTTTCAGATCCGGGTAAGATTAATTGGAGACAGCTGACGGACATCTTGTCTCTGTACGACAGTCCTGCGATACGGGTGGATTGCCTCAAGCTCACCCCCGAGACCCTGGAAGCATAAACTGTGTAATGGATGAATCCTCACACTAAATCCAATTAACAGAAATCAATGACTTCATATAATCCAGCAGTATTTTATTCTACTGAAATCAGCCCCATGTTTATTGTTGACTCTCCACAAACACTTGTCATGTGAGCTGTATTACGTCACCGCTAATGCAAAATTGATCAACATGTTTGCAGCTGCTGCTTCACACTAAAAGCATTCGATAAAGTAGCTTTTATTGTGACACAGACATGAAACAAAACAATGGTCACTTACACACTGGACCTTTAATATTGGGATAAAAAGACCAAATACGCTGCTTGATGCTTCAGTAATAATAATAATAATCCTTTAACTTCAACAGTATCAAATCAAATATCAAATATATCAAAATATCAGCCATTTGCGTACATTTTGCTGATAATATCTCTGTAACTTCTACTTTGAATGCAAGACCTTTATTTTCAAAGGAACATTCTAATATAGTAAATAACGGATATCAATACTTCTTACACCCCTGACTCGACTGCTGTTGTTGCAGCCCAACCAATTTGTGAGCCTGTAATTATGCTATTTCTCAACAATAATGATGCAATAACAGTTTGCCAGGAGACTAAGATGTATTAAAACTCAATATTCAACTCCTTACCAGCCCTTTATTTTAAAGGAGTTGCATTTGTGATGCTCGCCAGCTGTTTTTCTCAAACAAATCCCTTTCCCTCCACACACATGAACGTTGGGCTGAACGGGCTCTCATGGCTCCCAGCGAGTCATCTGGGATTTCAGCCACGCTTTATTGACCTGCCTGAACACGGGCTGCACACATCAGCCTCAGCTAACTGACTTAGCCCAGAGCTTATCATGAGAGGGGCGGCGTGCACTTCACCGAGAGAAGTTCATTAAGGCTGTTCTCTTAAAATGTCAGCGGCTTTCATTAACCCGTCGCCAACGAGGCCGCCACTGTTTTTAATTAGCACGCGTTTAAAGCGTGTTTGGCTCTTTCAAAGGAAGTGGCTGAAGGATACAAAGGGCAGAGTAACACTGAACAGTCAGATATTAACACAGTTAGAAAACTAATTAAAATGAAGCTTAATGAGATCAGTGCCACAGGCATGCGGCATCTCACCACTGAGTCCGTAACACGCTGCGAGGAAAAACACTTCCTCGTGTCGCTGCACTGTAAATGAGTTTGTCTCCGTCAAAGGAAAAAATAAATGAAACATGCCGAGCAGCAGGAAAGTCAAACTTAAATCCCTCAAAAACAAAACAAATCTCTACGGACAGCGCAGAGGAGCCGCTCATGTCTCCAGTCAACCACATTACGGGCGGAATAAATGATGAGTCCAAAATATAAAAGCGGCAGATTAATATTTGATGCATGAGCGACATACAAAGACAAGCCATGGTGGCTGCCCCCGAGTCAGACTGAACCCCCCCCCCAACAACAAGAAGAACAAAACATTCCAAGTGATGCAGGCGAGACATTTATCAGGACAGTGAACGTCTGTTGGCTCGTGAGGTGAGACTTTCTCAACTTGTGCGGATGATAACACAACTCTGCCAGCTCTCCATAAATTATTCTCCTTCCCCCTCCTTTTTTTTTTTTATTAAACTTTCCTCGTCGACAAAACAGAACCAATGGCGGTCTCACATTTCAGCTGTCAGGAAATTCTGGGGAGGAACACTAACACTTCTATTGCAGCACAAATATTTGCTGTTGTTTGAAGTGCAGGGAGACGGGAGGGACGAGATCAAAAGGAGACCAGAGGTCTACAGAACGGGTGTGAATTGAATGAAAGTTAGAATAAGCTGCTGCAGAGCTGAAAACATTCAATACTTTACATTTTCTGACCGAGTATATACAGTTATTGTGATGCTAACAGAGGAAAACAATAACTTTGCCTTTGTTCATCAACAACACACAAAACAACCAAAAATTTTTCATCCTCATACTGTTTGCATGAGATGTCTGCAAACCAGCAGGGAGTTGTTTTCTTTGAGAGTATGCAAACACACATAAAATTAAAGTATTTTTTTTTTACTGCCCACTTGGTTCAGTGTCCAAAACTCTCTGAATCTATCCGATTGCCTCGTTTTCTCTGGTTCAGGTGTCAAACTGACGCACATTTCTGACACGTCACTGACTAAATCAATCCATTAAAGAAATAATATGCACATCTATGAATAATGACTACAGTTGAGAGAATGTGTTGGTGTATACAAATAAAAGCGTCTGTATATCGAACCTGTTGAGGCGATGACACCAGCTGCAGTTGAAGTTGACCTGTGAGGAGATGCAGGAGCTACAGCTGGTGAACTGGAGACAGGCTGGAGAGAGAGAGAGAGAGAGAGAGAGCAAACCAGGTCAGATCTCAGTCCAACATCCAAACTAACAAACAGCTCAGAATCTGTTCGATGGCAGAGTCTCATTGATCGAGGAACACTAAGGTGCCTCTACTGTGGACAGTGTTATGACTGCACCAAAGCTGTTCCAATAAATTCTCCTTACTGGGTAAAGGCATCATTTCTACGGCGGTAGAATTAGTGATCTTCGTCTTCGTCAGCTCCACGCGGTGGTACTCGTAGATCGTCCTCCTCCTCACGTCTGTGTTTTGGAGGGAGTGAGGAGACAGAGTGAGAGATTGAACAAACCGTCACAAATCTTCCAGCCAGAGATAAAAACTGGGACAAGTGGTCCCTGAAGAAAGAGGGAAGTGAGCGGGAGGCAGAATCGGGTCAGGAGGGATGCCACCACAGCACTTTATTTCTCCCCTCGCTTTGTGCCTGAGTGTCGGCCAACAACTTGGCAATGGACAGTAGCAATTTCCCCTGGGAGCTGATATCAATCACACACTGCTGAAGGGCTATACCCTCCCAGTCATCTATAACAGCAAGTCATCAGCCATGGTGAGATGGACCGATTGATTAGATATATCATTGACTCTCATGGCGCTCTGGCCCTCGTATGGGCCTGTGTAAAAGGGGCTGCTTTCTTTTGCTAGCGATGCATCCTCTATATCATCAGTGGAAAATGAAAAAATGAAATATATCCTTTGTTACAAGAATGCATTTCAGTGCATCCACTCTTCCAGTGCATAGTATTTGAACAGATGTGGTAAGTGCTCTGTGCTGTTCATATACTGGTTAATCACCAGTGTAATTAGAGTTTTATGTGACTCTCGAGGCAGAAGCTCCAGGCATGAATCAGTAAATCTTTAAAGTTGCATAATGACAATTCTCTTGAAATTCAATATTCACCAATTTTGCCATTTGGTGAAACGTTCTAAAGTTAAAGGAATAGTTTGGCGAACAAGAATATCAACAACACTCTTTCCATTAAATACGAAGGTAAAGATTAACTTAGCTTTGCATATAGACCCAGCCTGGCTGTTTACTAAAAAGCTCCAACACATTATATCTTGCATGTTTAATCTGTGAAACTGCTGAGGCATAAAAATAAAAAGTTTGAGTATTAGAAGGCGTATTTGTTGGATGTTATGCTGAGCTAAGATGTGGTATCAGTCCTTATATATTCTTGGCAAGGAGGAGAATAATAATATTTTCCAAAATGTCAAATTACTCCTTTTACATTATACCGTGCTACCTTTTTTTTTTTTGCCTGATTCTGGCTTGGGAAGTGTTGACCAAGCTGGCTACAGTGTTGTGCTTCTCATATGATAGGATGTTCTTCCCCCTGCAAACCTGCTGGGTTTGATTACACACAGGACAAGTGATCAAAGCGGACGATGTGAGCCAGCTCGGTCTAACCTCAGAAACAGACCACCCTTCCATTCCCGCGTCTCCTCCCCTGGTGACTGACTTCCTCTCGCCTCTAGCGAAGGGATTATCAGGTGCCTAATGACACGGTGGGTGCCAGAGGAAGGTCAGTTCCTCCGCCTGGGGCTGTTGAGCTGTTGTGTGAGCAGACAACTCTGGTTGGTAGGTTGGAAGGAAGCTGTGAATCAGATCAATTAAAGCCCAGTTCTCAGTCGCAACGTAAAAACGGCTAATGAGGATTAACAGTAGCTACCTTCCACCGGTACTATCAAACATCTGCAAATGTGTGTCGTCGTTTACACACAAGAGGGTCAGACAGATCAGCAATAAATGAGTGTTGCATAAATATTTCTAAGATTCAATCACAATAACAGGCTGCATTTTATTGCATGGAAATCAGTGGAAGCGTGTCAGGAGACTGAGGGGAAAACTGATGGTGGAATAATGGCAGGCTCACATTCACGTCTCATCTGACAGCACTCTGTGTCACAAATATGTGTTCACATCGACTTCATGACCACACTCTTGGTAAACTAAAGTATATTAAATCACAATCTTTCTGCTTAAGTAGTGGTAATAAGAGTCATATTGTAAAATTAACAGTTTAGGCATATTCCTGGGAATCAAGATTATTATTCCCGATACAGGCAAGAAGGTATGAAAAAGGATGAAGGTGGTTTCAGTTTCAATTCTGGACTAACTCCCTGTGACTGATAATGTATAATAAGCCTTGGGAAAGTAAATTAAAGCCTGTCCCTTCACAAGTTATTGTACCTGACCTGTTAATTACACACCTCGGACATGAATTATCATTTTACTGGATAGACTGGGGGTCTCCTCTGACTGGAGGTTGTGTAAAATGTTTTATTTCAGCTTTTAATAAAAGGGTCAAACAAATGTCCCTCTGGCTGCCGCGGTTGTTACGCGTAGATTAAACACTTTTCATGGTAGAACCCACAGAAGGAGAATAAACTTCTTCCTACAAGAAAATGAAGCCAAAATATCCCAGATGTGGGTGACACCATCTTGCACTTATAAAATAATTTGGAGCCAGAGTCTGCAGTGATCAGTGTGGAGACACTGTATCAATCCTACTGCTAAATGTGACAGGGTGACCTTTACTGCAGCTTGCCACCAAGAGGGGAAAGAGGTGATTTACCTTCACTTGGGGAGCTGTCATGTCGCCCATCAGTCACTGATGACACAGCTGTCCTGTCTATGATATCCACGAACATACCTTTGCAACATGGCAGAATTTTAACTTTTACTGTCCCTCTATTTCTACAACACTGACCTTAACCCTCCTATAGACGGACCTCTGTGGTTGTGCCTGTGGTGAATCGAACAGCAATGTCATCCTTCTCCTTCATGAAAACTGCTGATTCTTGCTTTCTAAAGGTTAGTCCCCATTCATCTATGAGTACCCTCCCTTTTGCCTCAATATGATGATTATCGTGATGAAAAACCTGATCTAACTTGCCGCATCCTTCAACCTTCTCCACAGGCTCTTCCTGCACAGCTAGGACACACATCAAGACCTCTGGACTGAGACACATCATGCAGATGTTGCGAGAGTCCAGCATTAGTCAGTTACCAAGCAATCTTCACAAATGTCCACACTTTATTAGTTTAATGTGACACATAAACGAGGGCAAAACTAGTATTGCATTAACTGGAGGTTCAGTTTCTACAATTAGATCTGTTTCCAAACAGGTGTTAAGTGTATTTACCAGAATCAGCTTTATCTTTTCAGATGTATTATCAGAGCAATTTAAAAAAAGATCTCAGGCTCAATCTGCTTCTATTCTGGATTTCCAAGCAGCTGTACGCACTAGTTTCATCACGCTGTGTCAGAGGCTTCAGATGCAACTTGGTTTATGAAGTCTACAGGGGAACAGTGCAAACAGGTTCAGTACAAAAATCTGTCAGTGCCAAGGACATCTTCCTAAAAAGAGGTTTAGCAGAAAAAGCCAAAAAACAAACTCGCAGTCAGCTATCGCTCCAAATAATTCACAGTAATTTGTTGTTTTACTTGTAAAAACAGACTCAAACTAAACAAAAAATCCCATTACAAATAAGATAAAGATGCCATGAAGGACAAAAAGGCCTTAGTAATTAAATTTGACAAATAAATGCAATCCAGGTTTGAAAAGCACGACGAAAACAGCTTTAAATGACTGAATTAATCATATTTGACATCTCGTTATTGTGGCGAGCTTTGAATCAGAGCCCATGAAAGAAGGAGAGTCTGACTGTGGAAACAAAAGGTTTGAAGTGTTTTCTCCTTTGCTCACAGTTGCTGTAAAATTAATGGGCCAGAATTGCAGTAAGTCAAAAGTAAATAGTAGAGGCAGATCTGAAGCTGAGCCCACAGCTCTGCCCACTGCCTGCTGAGAGCGAGGGGGGGGGGGGGGGCAGTGCCGCAGAAAAGGTGGTGACAGTTGGAAATAAAGCAAAAAAGACGAGACTGAACTCAGAGCTACCAGACAGTTTAAAGTAAACACAAAGATGATGCAGGCATTGGCTGGAAAACTAAATGGATGAGTTCTTAATGCAACTTTACACAACTTTGTGCAACATTAGAAATGCAATGTTTCGTAATGTGACACAAAGTAATGCAACAACTCAACGTTTGCCCCTGATGCCTCAATTTTCTTTATATCATCACATTTTCTTAGTTGTGTTTTAGAAACCAATTTATAATCAATTTATGAATGTCAAAGTTAGTTTTATTATTTTGGTTGGGGTTTGACATGAATATAATTATTATATAGTTTTTTTTATATATAGCTGTAATAGTAGCTTGCTAGCTTCCACATTGCAAGAAAAAGCTACACAGAAATCAATGAATTGTTCTTATTTCTTTCTTTTAATTGTAACTTGAAATGAGAAATCCAAAACAGACCTATGGTGGCTGAGCTGTGAGTGGACAATTCAATTTTCAAAACATTTGCATGTAGATCCATTGAGATTTTTTTCTTAAAGTAAACAAAGTAGCAAAAGCTAAAGAACCATGTTTGAGACTCACTGGGGATCTGTTGGATCTTATGGACGACCACAAAGGCATCAGACAGGCCCACCTTCACCGGGTGATTGACAGAGCTGATCTGTGACACCTCAATGGGGATCTGAAATAAAAGAGGAAAAATCAATTCCGAGACGATGTGTCTGGGACAGGCCGAAAAACAGAAACAGGCCAGTCTGACGGCACAGAGAATTCACTTCTATCTCCCATAGGAATCTACTGAGGCGTAATGCAACTTTCAATAAGCACATGGTATGGTTTGGTGCACAGAATAAACATTTCAGATTTGCGAGGGCTGACGTATCGGAGCGTAAACAGAGGCCATGACATTTATGCTGCATTCAAGTTAAAGCATATTTGCATCTGTTGTGTTGTTTGTACACATCACTGGGTTAAAACACACAAAAGTACAGTGACTCAGGGATAAAAAGGGTAAAGTGAGATGACGGTATTGAACGAGCCGTATAATCATGGATGATGTAAAACCAGTATTTGCAGTAGTCAGGCTGCTTTTTCTCAGAGCAATAATAGAAACGTAATAAAATATTTATTTGAAAAACTAATTCAGCAGCAGATCAGCATTTCAAATAAAATAATGGCTTTCATGATGGGCACTGCCTGAGAAAATAAGACTTAATGCTCCTAATGCTTGATTTGGTTCTAATAACAGAATTATACAATTGTCTATTCATTTCAAACTTTAAAAAAATGCGTCATAAAGGCTTGAATGAAGAAATGGAGGCAATAAAAAGTATAATAATAGCAATGATGCATTTTTTTAAAGTTTGAAATGAATAGACACTTGTATAATGCTGGTATTAGAACCAAATCAAGCATTAGGAGCAGCATTAGGAGCATTAAGTCTTATTTTCTCAGGCAGTGCCCATCATGAAAGCCATTATTTTGTCAGTATAACAACCAGAGGGAAAAGAAGTGAAAATGTGGCCCCGATATTTTTAATGGTTGAGACACGGGGCTATCGTCAGTGTTTGAAATTACAAAGATATTTTTGAAAAGTCTGACAGAGTTAGAGAGAGAAACCAAACTGATTGTTAGATCTGTGTGAAAGATATTTTCTCCTCATGTGCTAAGCAGGTTTTAATAAGGTTACTTTCAAATTTGAGCGTGCAGTTGTTTTATTGTAACGTAGGCGTTTAATGAATTTCGCTAGAAACGACTTTGATTCTCCCAAGATGTTTTTGTCAGTTTTTTGAAACGAGTCACTGACCTCTTTGTATGCAAACACGATCCTGCCGGTGTTGTGCAGCGTGGCCTGGAAGGTGAAACTCCCCAGGTGGTAGTTGTCCTGTAGGTGAACGTGATCCCACTGCACCACCAGAGCAGTACCTACAATCAGACAAAAATAAACCCACAGAGTTTATTCCCACATGTGGGACAACACAGAATCACAGATCAGAGGACAACACAGTCATCATTAAAAGCCACTGTCATACTTTTTATTTGAAAACACAGACTTGTCTTTAAAACACTAACTCTGTGTTCTCTGCTCACTGTGGGTGTGAGCTGATTGTCACGGATATTAAAACAAATCCACTGGAACAGAGAGAAAGAATAAATAAAACTGAAACTTTGGACCAAACCAAATCAAGACCTGGTGGAGGTTACTGTGATAGATTATGCAGCTTAAACAGTTTTTCAAACTGAGCAAGAGCAGGTTCATGACCAGTCATGTTTCAGCTCAATGAGGACATTTCTAATTAACCGAGTAAATTAAAGCAGGGCGGCAAATTAAAGGTCAGTTCAACCAAATTACAGCATCAAATGTCCAATTAAAGCTCAACCTACTAGAAACATGGACACTTTGACGTAACCGGTCTAAGAAGAACTGGCTAAAACTGACAGAAACCATCTTTGAGAATTAATTATTTAAACATGACTTTGTAGCTTTGGTCCATGTCACATGTAACAAGGAAGAGGCGGGGCTTATGACTTCTACTGCAGCCAGCCAGCAGGAGGTGATGACGACCATCTGGCTTCACTTTTGTCATCCATCTTTACATACAGTCTGTGCTCTGGTGGTGACTAGTCATGCATATACAGTGCGTTTGGAAAGAATTCAGATCCATAATGTTGCAGCCTTGAGCTAAAAGGAAAAATATTTTCTTTCCCTGAAATATGAAATTGAAGATGTGCCCCGCCTCTCAACCAGTTTCAGCTGGAATTGGTTCGAACGGATGGACGAATGAAAACACAATTTAGAAATGAATCTCAATCAAATTGAAGTGAATGGAATCCAACACAAATACTCAACAGCATTTTATTGGCAAACTACAATTGGCTATTTATTAGTGGATCAATAAATGATCAAACTGCTGAACTTTTAGAATAAAGGCCTAGATAGAGAATATCCCTTGTATGTTCTACCACACTTATTAATGAGCAACTTACTGGAACACAATTATGAAAACCAAAAACCAAAACCCTCCATAATATTAAATCCTACTTGACCACATCAAGTCAAATGATCTTCAGGTGGTGCCTTCATATTGGGGACGAACTAAATTAGTACCAGACTCACGCAGCCTTCGTCTCTACCGGCAGACTGCAGGCCTCACATTACTCTTAACATTACTTTGATTAACTGACGAGAAACTATCGACGTGAACCCCCCCCCCCCTCAGAGTTACACGTTTGGCTGCGCTCCAGGGCAGCAAAGGTTTGTTAACACAACTAATCAATTTTTCCGTCACAAAACCAGAGCTCTTCCAACCAAAGTAAAGACGAGAATTCAGCTTCTCTGCTGCCAATTTGGAGAGCAGGGGCGTCCGCTCGCACAGGAAAACCATAATAAATTACATGTGGTGTGTATAAAGGGGCTCTGGCACCGGAGATGCATGTTTCATGTGTTAAAGGAGGACGTTAAGTCAAGTCAGGGTCTGATCCTGCACTGATATGAAATACCTAATATTAACGCAACTTGGCAAAGACGCTCCGTTTTGCATGTTTGGATGGGAAATGGGAAAAAAAGGCTTTGTCATGCAAAGGCAGTGAGAATCACCAAGAGGACAGAGCGCTAAATTGCTGCTAACTTATGGCACAGTGCGTTCGCTCAGTCAGCAGTTAAGCCTGGTAGAAGCCTGTTAAAAATGCATTGAGTTCATGAGGGGAGGCGGCCGAGCTATCTGGGGCTTCCAGACTAAAAATACAGTGTGAGAGGAGGCGTGGGGGGGGAGCACACACTGGCCTTGTTTCTAATTCCATTTACAAGCTCAACACTTCGTACGAACTGAAAAAAAAACAAATCCTGCATATTATGCCGGCACACCCTCTGCCTGGTCGAGAAACTTTTGTCAAGTTTTAATGTGGTTTACGTCGCATTTATTTCATTTTCCTCATATCATCTTTAATTTCCCCTCCATCAGAGCGGCTAAATGGAATTCAGCCATTATCAATTTGACCATTTACTGTTGTGTTCCTGCTGTGACATGACAAAGTGTCTCCAGGGAAAAATGTTTATTGGTAGTTTTCACCGTATTAAGTCAGACTTCAGTGCGTTTGATTCTTCAGGGCCAAACCCAGACACATGCAACACGTAACATTTTCTTAATGTTATAAAACCTATCCCATCTTAAACCATGTGGAATTCATCAGTGAATAATGTCTCTATGAAAAGAAGTTGTGTTAAAATCTCAAACATGTTCTACTGCATGTACGTGGTATTTTTACCACAGCACTGTCACAAGATCCCACTCCCGACAACAGTCACGTTCACAGTCTGTCAGGTGTCGGAACACTTCACCAACTTATCACACACGAATTTTAGTATACGAGAGAGAGAAAGACTCCTCCCGACCAAACCACACGTTCTTTATTTAGCAGATTCTAATTAACAAAAGACAACAGCGTTCCATTTTTGAGAAAATTTAGCGTCTGACAACAAAGCTTCACACCGTCACTGTGATGTTTCACACGTCTCCCACGACCCTGTTTGTGCCACGAGAACAAACAAGACATCTTGGCTGTGAACGCCTCATCAAACTGACGGAAAGCGGGACTGACTCTCTCATAACACAACAAACCAGGCAGCTCTTACGCTGTATTGGCAGGACGTAGACAGATGGACAGTGTGTTGAGGTGCGGGGCCTCGACCGAGAATCGATCGGCTGCCAGTTTGGTTGAACTCTGATTAGCTCGACTGCAGAAGGTCACGCAGTTGGTCCGTCACTCTGCCGCAGAGCGATTAGAAGGCAGTGACTGACTTGATGGATAACAACTATCGCAAAAAAAAAACAAAGGTGCGCAGGGTGTGGAAGGGCGTTGGTTTATTTTCAAATGAGTAACTACTGTTTAGAGCAAAGTTACAAAGGTCTCAGACTCAGTCGTATAAATCAAGCAATGACAAATGTCTCCTCTTTTGCAAATGAACATTTAAGACAACTTATGAGTCAGAAGTGAAACAATAAACAATGTAACAATAAATATCTTAAGGTTTTGCAATTAACTATTCAACTAATTCAACTGTTTTCTTTACACTATAATCATTTTGTGTGAACTTGAGTTCCTCAATTTTGATTTATATCTCATACTGTTACTCGTTTTGATATGATAAAGTTTCTGTAAAATCATTTATGAAATTCTTAATGGATAAAATAACAGTCAACTTTCTTCATTACACTGATGCAGTCCAACATATAAACACAAGTATTTTCTACAGCTGTTTTTAGCTCCTAGCGAAAGCAGGATTTGCCGAGGGGGAACACCTGCAGCCCGACAGCCACCCCAGGGTGCTGATTAACTTGCTTCAGTTTCTGAAAACATGCTAGATAACACCAGCAGCGGGGCACTTTGGTGTTCTACAGCCTCGAGCCATGCAGTGTGTCAAGAGAAGCTAATCACGTCCATGGTTTGATGATACAAAAAGTGTGTGTTGACAATCTCAGAGCAGGTTTAAGGATGGTGATGCAAAATACAAGAAAGAGTCAAACACAGACAGAGAGTGCAACAGCGTGATTCACATCAGCCTCTGTGGGACAAACTAAAAAATCTATTTTGTGTGACTGTTTATCAATTGATGTAGACTCCGGGTGCAGAAAGTGAAGCCAATGCGGAAGTACCTAAACCTGTGTTCTCTCTATTGACCAGCAGGTTGCAAACAGAAGTCAGTTTCTATAGAGAAAATAACAAAGTCATGTTCATGGTCTCAGTCACCAGTGTCAAGTCTTCTTTAATACAGAATGATGTTCATTGAGTAAATGATGGTCCCATTTAGAGCAAAATAGACCATAAGGCATATTTAGGTATGGATTACATGTGATTGACAGCTAGCATCCAAAGCGTGCAGTTCGCAGGTGTAGGTGTCAAAATGCTCTTACCGTTGTCAAAGTAGATGACGGTAGAGTTTCTGGAGACACTCGGGTCAAAGTTGGCCATGAGGGGAGCGATGTACTGTGTAGCCGTCAGCATACGATGGACCACATCACCCGTATAGATGAAACCTGCAGGAGGAAGAAGAAAACAACTTTCTTTACTCTTCAGAGTTTCAGGTAGATGCTCTTAAACTCTTGAAACACCGAAATATAATGCGCTATGCATCACTTCTAGTGTTGTACATGCCTTGATAGAGTGTTTTCAGATGGATTCACCCTTTGGGCAACTCATAAAAACAAACATCAATCTTCCTCTCCTCCATTACTACCTCTCCTCCTACAATAAACCTGTTATCTGATACAGTATCCTTCAGGAAGACGACAAGCCCTCCGGTCCAGCCAAAGTTAAAAACTCATTAACCCACAACAATCGCTTCTTTCTCCGTGTCTGGCCCCGTGCCGCAGGCTGCCTCAGATACAGCAACACCGATTAATTAGCACTAATATCGTCCATCATTAACAGAAGGACAAATCTGAGGGGCTTTAAAAGAAGATGCTGTAAACCAAGTGAGCAGTTAAATATCATCATGGAGATATAACACCGACTCGCTCTCCGTCTACCTGTGTCCTCCTTTCCCCTCTAGTGTGTTTTTACTCAACTTCATCCATCACAGATGTTAATAGGAGTGACTAATCGTCACGACAACAAAAACAGATTATGTTAACTCTTACAATTTATGCGTCCCTCCAGCGAGCCACAAATAAATGTCTCCACTGAGATGGACGTGCTCAGTCAACACAAACTAGAGCTGCATCATTTAGCAGCCTGTAACCGTGGTTATTAATGGTCTAGGGGGTAAATGCTCACCATTCATCAGGAGGGAACGGTCTTTGCATCAAGAATCTGCTCTGATAACAGAATCCAGCAGCGTCTTAATTTCCCTACTGACAACAAAGTTTAGCAAAGTCAGCTGCTAGTTGAAGATTAATTCAAGGCAGAGGTTTTTTTCTTACTCTTCCATTGATGGATAAATATTCAACAGCGAACCTGACATGAGGTTTCAAAGTGTTTTATTCTGAACTCAGGCATTTAAGTGAATATCATCTCTTTAATGACATTTACCTTTTGAAAAACTTTTTCTTGCAACAAACAAGACTAAATTTGTCTCATTGAAAGTCATGTATGCTGTGTGATGTGATGTTTAAACATGTGATGTTTAAACATTTAAGACTGGTTAAAATCTTATAGCCGATCTACAAATATACGATGCAGCTACAGCTGGAATCGTTTTTTTTGACCCGGGAATGTCGAAGAGTATCAATATTAAAATGTGAGAGTGGGTAATTATAAAATGTTTTAGCATACATGCATAATTAACTGAATATTTAAATTTGATACCAAAAACCTTGTTCGCTGAGCACAGAACACTGGAAACAAAACAGAAATAAAATAATGATGGACGCATGGATGGATAATAAAACACTTACATTTGTGTTTACATTTTCAGGTTGTGATGCTAATTTAAACTAACTGGCTGCTGCTTCATATTTACTTCATATTCATCTTCTCCTCCTTGTATTGCAGGTTCAATAAAAGTCTGAGAAATCGTTTTTGTGTGAAGTTTAAGATTAAAACAATATATGAAGTGGCTTTCTGGGGCATATAGAAAGAAAAAACAAACCTGCTGACAAAGAAGAGGATTTTTTTGGGGATAAATTGAGGCCAGACCGATAAATCCCCATTTCATGTCACCATGTCTTCTCATACAGTGGGCAGGCTATAAAAACACATCTATCACTTAGGAAACTAGGAGCAGGGCAAAGCATGAGGGCAATCAATCTTCCCTCAAAGACCTCCCTGCTCTGAATTACCTCTATATGGAACTCTGTCTGTCACACACACACAAACACAACACACACACACACAGTTTTATTCAGTTGTGTGAAGACCTCAGAGTAGAGAGCTCTACCTGGATTAGGAGCGAACAAGCTAAAGGATACAGTGCTGAAGGGCTGAATGAGTGGGGTTACCATGGTTACACGTAGTTATCCCTTCCAGAAATCAGAAAAACGCTTCTGGAAATGCTGAATGTTTTTGGTTGAAAGAGGCTCAAGGTCCAATTATGATAAAGTGCATGGGCCTCATACATCAGTGGCATCAGTGTAGGAAAAATTAAGTTGTGTGAACATGACTGCAACTTACTTTTACTTTAGTTATATGTTGAATTAGTTCAGTATTTGTGGGATGACTCTAAAACATTTTTAGTCCATAGATATTGAACATTTTTGAAATAATATCTAATATAAAATTACAAGGTGACATCTGCAAATTGCTGGTTTGACAACTTCCACCTTTCGTTCATAAACTACAATTTATGACTGTGCACTCACCTAATCTGACACGGGGATATTTTTTATCACGCAAAAAGGTCCTCCAGCAGGGGAACGCTCAGGGTTTAATGGGCAGTTTAGGAGCCACTTTACATCAGACAGAAACATATTCCCTGTGTTACATGATGGTGAATGAATGTAAAGAAGTCACAAGTTAAAGAGGCAGGTCTGTTGAGTCTACACACACGAAATTCAAGACACACAAACACTGCAGTGCACTTTACGGTCGTATGCTGCAACGACACTTTTAGATCCTTTATCCGATTGTGCTGGGACACAAACAACTTCCTCCAAATCGGCCTCTATACATTCCATCTCATCTCATATTTACTCAACGGCCGCTCTGGCACAGTTTTATCTCTCAATTGCTTTCTCTCTGTTTCGCCCACGTCAGTCGTTCTCCTTTCACTTTCACCGTCTTTATCTTCCGTCCCATCGAAACACACACACACACACACAGTCTGGACACGCTCACAATCCCCTGTGTGCTGCCTCTGCTCTCCACCAGCAATCTCCTGAAAACACAATGCGACTTATCCAACAGAAAATTAAACAGGCTCTCAATACACTAAAGAGGTGAGGGCCCCGAGGTTTCTCAGTGGAGAGGCTATTCATTCATTATTGTGCTCAATACAGAGGTAATTCATTCACTCACAGCAGAGGGACACTGGACGGAAGAAGAGAGGGAGAACGCTGGGGGGAAAACAGATGTGTGAGGAGACAGGACACGGACAAGAGAGACGAAACAATGGAGAAGAGTCTGAGGTAGAGAAAGAGAAAGAGTTCGTATGAAGGTGGGACGAGACGGATAATTCTTTCTCTGACAGGCATGTTTACATGTGCCGCGGTCCAAAAGTGCAGGGGCGAGCATGTCCAAGAAAAACATGAGTGGGAATTAACAGTCCCACTCGACTTAAGCTTTGCTTTATTGGACGTTGTGTTTAGAGAACGTCTTTGTTTCTTCAGACTGAGCTGTGTTTAATCTACGGGATATTTTCTGTTTATCACAGATGTTCTGAGGTTCAGGAGGAGTCAGGCCAGATTTTCACAAACACACACAGCCATGTTTTATTTGGTCTTTTAAAAAAGACTGTATAAAGATGGACGACATGATGGCGCCCCAGGAGTGAAGCCGAAGTCTCTGCATAGTAAGCCATGAGCCACACCTCCTCCAGGTCAGTGGATGGAACCAAGTACACGTCAAATAAAACTTTCTCAAAGATGGTTTCCATCATTTTAGTTCTTATAACACTGATGTATAGCATTTAATTCAGGATCCTCTGACTTCATTTCTGGATAGAAAGTCGACATCTTTTAAAAATTAAGCAAAATGGTTTCTACATTGGGTGATTTTTGATGAAGAGTGAATTAAATCTGATTGAAACAAAACATCAGCCACATCTTTGAGAGGTGTTTAATATGTCAAAGATTTTTTGGTGGGCTTAATATTTAAAATTGGCAGTGAAGCCAGAAAGCTAAATAACATATCCTATGGAAATGGCTCTCACCTCATATCTATGAGTCACAGCTCTGCCTCCAACAAATGATGTTCACGCACTACAAACACATTCTGGGGGAAATGTAATTGCTTGGATTATGTTCACAGAAAGCTAAATCGCGTGCTTTGTTTTCACACCACACACAACTTGTCGAGAGGCGGTCAGGGTGATGGGCGGCTCTTTGACGCTGGAGAGACTCGGCCGTTTGAATCCTGAAAACACGTCTGAGTCTGTGTGTGTTTTGGTTCATGCAACAAAAACATTGGTTCAGGAGTGATTGAGGTTTTAGTTTCATTATAAAGATGTGAACAAATGTCTTAAATATCTTTAACCAAGAAGATCTTTTCTCAACTTGAATCAAGTGCAGTGAGAGCTCAACACATTAATACAAAAGTATATTATGCTTTTTCATTTAGACATTTGAAACTGGGCCAATATTCTCAGAGAAGTTTCAGGTGTCGTCACATTTCAGTAGAAACTTATAATTTCTTACTTGCCTGTCACAGGTGGCACATTTCTCTGAGCTATGAGCACCTTAACCAAAGAGTGATGTTCTCTTCTCTGGTAGTTTCAATTAAATAGTGTTTAAAGGCCTAAAGTGGAAAAACTGTCCAATATTTCACCACAAAGAGCCACAATCTGAGAAAATGCTGAAATAATGAAGATGATTTGTAAAGCTGAGACGTTTCCTGTTTTATCAATCATCTCCAGATCTGTCTGATTTGTCCTCAGGGATTCTAGGAGCTTTGGTCCTATGGAATAAACGAGGATAAAGACAGATAATCTCTGGGGAATGAGGAGCAGTCTGACCCCATTTCCTTTCTTGTGCTCCTCTACATTTCTGCTTCACATGTTCTTATTTAGTAACTTACTTTTCCTGAGAAACCATTTTTTAATATGATCTGATAAACATGTACCGTTTGTTGATGTTGTGAGTGTAAAGTGTGACAGCTGGCTATGTAAACCGAATACCACAGCTGGACAGCCAGCTGCACAGCTGGCAGTGATCCGATCATATTTCTTCACGGGCCGTACACGCAGAGACCTTCACACATTCTTAGGCGTGAACCAGACTCTCCGCGTGACCACGAACAACCCGTCCACTCTCTGCACGACCTGCGGTGCATTGACAGTCACTGATAACCCAGGAAAACTGCTGTAATGTGCCGTCAACACTTTATACAGAATATTCCCTGTGTTGACATTATCCATTTATTCTCAACACATTCTCAGAGACATTTCTAATGTTTTCCGTCTCTTTTATTTATCGGCGGAGCTTCTAAGCAGCTGTAGTCTATTGAACCGACTTTGTAAAGTGATGTGTCAGTAGTGTTCAGGCACTGATGTCTGCCACAGTGTCGCTTTTAACACTACAACAGGAGCAGGGCTGCATCTAATGATTGTTTTTATCATTGATCAACTTACTTACTTGTAGAAGTAAGTGTCTTAATGCTTAGTCAGTAAAAAGCCCTGAAGCCTGCACACAGTTTGTTTAAATGTGTAGAAACAACCAAAAAATTCCTGAAAATGAAGACGTGCAGATTTACAGAATGTACAATCCATAAAAAAAGACTTCAACCTTAAATGTTTGACATGGCTGCGTGCCAACCCCATCGTGTCGGCCGCATCGTTAATGTGTTTGAGGATTGGCTGCTTTACTGCTCCGAAACTTAACTGTGGCTCGGAAACATAAATAAATAAATGTAATTATAACTGGCACACTCCGTTAAGACATTATCTCCTCCTGCAGAGTTTCAGCGTAGGTAGTGAGAAGAGAAATATTTGCTGAAGTAAAAACAGTGAGTCGCTGACAGCAATTTAAGTGGAGGGAAAAGATGGTACAGTGGGGAGGAGGAGGAGCTGCTCGTGATAGTCCCTGAAATGGAGGGATGGGAGGGACGGCGTCTCGGAGACAAAACCCCAGAGGCCTGCAAGACGCAGATATCTGCCTCCTCCTCGGCCCGGCCTTGCCCCTCCATCTCTGTCTGGAGGAATGCAAATTCACATTATCTCCCCTGTGCTCATCGCATCTGCGCCCGTCCATTCCTCCTCACCATCCTCCAGAACGATTCTGAAGCCACCTCAACTTTGCCCGTGATGGAGGATCAAGACGGAAAATGAGACGTGATGATAATGATGATAAGAGACTCCTCATTATTCCAGTGGCAGTTAAACACAGCATCTCTGAAATAGCTGGGAAAGAGCAGAGCTTTAGTCTTTGATGTGATAATAGCCGGTTGGGGTGTTGTGGTTTCGCTGTCAAGACTCAAGTGGAAAATTGTTTTGCACACTCTGGCAGACACGTCTGCTGAGTCACATGTCTAACCCGCACACACACATCCTCCGATACCCCCGCCCTCTTATCCGCGTCTATCAGGGTGTGCGGGACCACTTGGCAGAGGGACGACGGTTTCCAGTCCAAACCCATCGGTCTGGTTTCTCCTCCAGTTAATTCTTGTGTGGAGCTGCTGACTTTTTTGGGAGTGCCTTATTTTTTTTTTTTTAATCCCCACGTCTGTGTCCCGTGGAGGTGAGAGATGTAAATGATCTTGTATCAGGCTGAAGGTTTGGCTGGCAGAGAGGTGCTGGTGGGTTTGTTCTGTGGTTTGCGCCAGACGAGGCTTTTCAACCCAGAGTCTTCTGATTTTGTTTCCCAGAAACAACATCCAAAGAAATAAATCTTTTTATTTGGTCCTGTTCAGTATTCTGTGGCGAGATCTCTTTGTACAGCGGCCACGCCACACTCACAGGTACACACACACACACACACAAATATGTGCACCACACACATTTTCTTCTCCATTTCATAAATGCCCCTGCACTCCAGACTCATTTTATAAATCTCACCACACCCCCTCCCCTAAACCCTGCAGCAATAAAAACGGTCTGTGTCTAATATGCCAAGCACATACTGCATATCCAATAATAACACTAATAACTACTATTGAGACAGCGGAGTCCAAGAACAGTGTTCACTTACCACCAGTTGCCACGGTGATCTCACGCAGGAAATGTCCATAAAAAGGGAAATCGAAGGACAGATTGACTCTCTGTGAGGGGGAAAAGCAGACAGATGACCCCGGTCAGAGAGACGGAGGAAAGAGGAGGATCAGAGGAGAGACACTTCTCATCTTCAGAAAACAAAACACACAAGAGGATTTAGATAAGAAGGAAAATGTGGAGATAAAACACAGATGTACCGAGTGTGATGGAATCATAAACAGATTTTAAAACCCTTCACCTTTAGCTTCATTATCATCATCCTCAGGAAATTTACTTTGCAGGTATTAAAGATGCAGACCACTGGAATACGCTGTTGAAAATATTCAGCAACTATCGATATTCCAAGGATATCTTGTAATAAATATTACATTTTCAGTGGGTAAACATCTAAATTATTTCATCTTCATTAATGTTGAGTCAAGTTTCTACACCCACTCATGGGAAAATACATGTTTATATAAAATCTGTACATTTCTATTTAATGGAAGTCAGTTTTTACCCAGGAAAAGGAAACAATTGATGAAACTTTAGAATTAAAAATCTAATTGAAAATGAAATACTAAGTTGAAGTTATGTAGAACATTGTCCTACTTGTCAGTGGGGATGCACTTGTGTACTAAAAACTGCATGAAAATCTAAGTACATAGGTAAATACTAAATAAATAAAGACAGTAAACGGTCAACTGGGGCAAATAGGAATATATGTGTAGTTTTTCATTTCTTGATGATGGTGCTACAGCTAAAGGCAGTAGGGCTAAAACTACTAATGTTAAAGTTTTGACTCATTGTGACATCTCATATTTCTTTTAGCTTGACATATTATATAATATATTTACAGACTTGACGAGTCACCATTCCGTGTAATTGAGACACAAGACATTTATTCCTCATCATTGTCCTCTTCTTGTTAAGTGAGACACATGATGTTTCAGTCTCAGAAATATGTTTGAGATTCAACACATGATAAAATGGAGTGTAAGACACTACGTTATTATTTAAATTACTCTAACAACAGTCTGTTCATGTTCATCACCACAAACAATGACTTATGTCTTCATTATTTTATCTGTACAGAATCGTCCCGCTGCCAGAAAACGTCATGGAGATGGACAGTCTACAGTAAACACGGAGCCATTATACGTTATCCTAGATTATGCCGAGGGGAGTAATCCTGTGGCAAACCGCAGTGAATCTCCTCGACTATAGAGCCAATCCAGAGCTTAAACTTTGGCAGAGTCCTGTGATGAAGCTGACCTCTGCGGCTGTGTTTTGTTTTACAGCCTCACCGGCCAATTTCACAGTGTCGGGGGCCAAAGCCCGGGCAGAGCCAGGGAGGAGCGCCGAGGAGTTTTTTAAGCAGTTTCTCAGGACTTTAACTGCCACAATAATAAACTATTTGTTTAAAGCGTTGGTCTGCTGACACGGTGGGTGAATTTCAGCACAGATGTTTTTCAACTTCTTGCACTGCAATCCTGCAACGACATTTCCAAACTCCTCCTATTGACCCTGACTTTGGCTGGTCATTGAATTGGGAAATTCACTTTTTGATTTGGATTTTTTCAGATTAAGCCCAAAGTCAGAGAAACCTCCCACATTTCTCCGAGACTATTTGGAGGAAAAGCTTCTCCTCTCGGGGCCCGGGACGTTCTGTGGCTAAAAAGAATAGCTTGGCTCACATTGTTCAGTTCAATCCATCACGACGCGACTGAAGGTGGAGGAGCAGAATGCACAATGTGGAACTCTATCCCATCTCCTCGCCAGCTATTGTTCACCCTGGGTGCTTTCTCTCTTTTTTTTCCTCCAGAGTCTGTAAGTGCCCTGCTGCCTGTCTCCTCCATCAGCCCGCTGCTGCTGCTGCCGCTGCCTCATGTGACTTCATCAGTATTCCCCTCACATGGCTCACCTGCTCATGCTGAGGAGAGATTTTAAACTTCACTGCAGCACAGGGGCTTTTAAACTGTTTAGGAATACTTTGACGTATCTCCCTCTTGTTATATTGCTGTTGTTGGTTTTATCTTTCTTTTTAATCTTCGAGCCCACATCACCGACTGATCCAACCGGCTCGTGAGTTCCAGTAGCTTATCACTGATCTGATTGGCGTCATGATGCATGTATGAGTTTGTGCTTGTGTTTGAGAGGAGCAGGTTGTACTGTGGATGGGAACAAATAAAATGAAACCAGTAACAGCCTGACTGTAGATTTTGTGCGGGGTACATTTGCATGACATTGATCACATCCACACAGAGCTGGAAAATGTCCCATCTCAATTGTTTTCCAATGTTTCTCATTTGTTAATTGTTATTGGCCCTTAGATTGTGACTTTTGGATACTTTAGTGAGTGGAAATTCAAAGTTTTTTAATTTGACAATGTCCACGGAGTTCATGACACAAATACTCAAGTCTTAGTTCAGTAAGTAAATCTCTTGTTGTAAGTTTGTCCACTTACCGCTGCTTGTCTGTGTGTGTTGGACAGAATGCCGTGGATCTTCACTTTCTCCTTGTCCATGTGGTCAACGTCTACCCACAAGTCCTTGCTCATTGCCTCCGATGGCCCGTACGTTTTGGATGAGTAGTAGTTGTGATCTGTGTCCTCCTGTAAAAGACGACAAACAGAATGCAGAGGGACGTGATTGAGGACAGAGTGGATGCTGCTGTGAGTCTGTTGCCTCACTGTGCTGTACACAGTGTATAGACCATAAACAAATATTCATGAGGTGACATCCTGCATCTTAATGTTCCACTAAGCTGCTTTAAGCCAAAATCAAACTCAAAGCTACAATTATTTAAATTTAACACAGACGTGGTGTTGAAAGTCAGTAACATAGTGTTTCTCGAACAAATTAATCAGATGAAACAACAATACGTTTCATTTGCAGTTTTTTCTTTATCCTTTTATTGAACTCTATGGTTTTAATTAGCGCACAGGAAGAGGTTTTAACGTCTACTAATCAAATTTTGAAAAGAAAAAAAACAAGAAGCCCATCAACTTCCTCCTCTGTAAAAAAAAGCCCGAGCAGACAGCAGAGTCAGCAGAGTTTTTATAACAGAAACATTGGTGGACTTTATGAGCCACGTGGGAGACGCCTGTCTGCTTTTATGTTTCTTGCACAGAATGAGAGGAAGAAGAAATGCTTGTGTCCTCGGCCTCTTATTGCTCGTCTCCCTCTGGGTCTAATGAGACACCTTACAGCTGAGGCTTTTATCTAAAACATTGTTAAAGTTAATGTTTTGCTGGGTGGGCAGCATACAGACCGTACAGCTGGGGAAGTAAACACTACGTCTGGCTGTGATCTCGCTAATAGGATGCTTTGATATCCCGCATTATTCTGAGCGACAGCACTTTGCATGTCAAAAGGCCACGAGACAAGCGTTAATTAAAGTACAATCCTTCTCCGCTCGGTTTGTTTTGCTCAAGAGATTCATATTTCCCTCTGAGAGGTAAAATCTAACACCTCCGCTCGCTATTCAGCCTGGGAAATAAAACAGAGAGATCGAGTTTCAGGCTTAGCGGAGCCTCTGAGGGATGGATAGGCATCAAAATCCCAAATGGGATTCAGCCATGTAGGTGGTGTTACATTGATTCATTTGTAGATTTAAACAAACATTGCCAGGAGCCTTTCAGCGCAGATTTAAGTGCAGACAAATCGTGTCAGGGCAAACCTTACTCAGCACATTACTTTCAGCAAAGAAAACAAGGGAGCTTGTAAAAAAAAAAAAGAAAAAGAAAGACGGAAATGCAAGGCTGCCTTCTAATCAGCACAAGCTGCTTTTGGTCGTGTGGAGAAGGATGGAGGGAGATGCAGGCTCCTCGGAGGTGAGAGGGGCCAGCTGGCACTTCCTTCACCTCGAGGGGACGAGGGGGGAGATGGGCAGGGCGCCATCGTCCAGCTGGGTGGAGGTGGACATGAAGCTGTCTCACACACACACAAATACACACAGAGAGGTTTGGTGGGAGGTCGTGAGATCTCTTTGGATCAGGTGCTGCAAAATTTGTGCTTGATGTTGATGTATGAAAACACACAGATTTGAAACAGCTCTGATTAAATCATTTTAAAAAGGCACAGAGGACACAGAGATTTATAAATGGATAGAATTCATTTTAAATTAAACTTGCACTCAAATCCCAATAACTTTTATTCTGTTAACCTACACGATACTTTAATACCAACACTAAAATGGTGGACTGAGCTCGCCTGGATTGAACCCCTGAATCACCGCTCACATTTGTTCTGTGAATCATATTGTAAGTTTGGCACCGTGCCCATTTCAAACTGCATCTGCAGCTCTTTGGCCGTGATGCACATCTCTGTTCTGCCCGAGCATCGGTACATCCACAGCTCGGTGCGCTTGGGTGAACATCACCCGTGTCTGACGTGAAGGAACAAGTCGCTGTGACGAAAGGTAAAGGTTGGCTTTGGGTAAAAGGTTGTAAACACGGCATGAAATATACAGCATTCCATGATATCTGTCTTATTTGGAATTGAAAATAAAGCATCTATGTGTATTTTATACATTTTTAAACATGGGTTCTATGCCATTTGAAATCTTTTGAAAAAGCTTTAACAAATTTGTACCACTATGTTTTTCCTGTAATGTGTAATATCAGAAAAAGGAAATCAACCCATACATTCAAAATTCATTGCTACTGCAAACACACATTCTAATAAAAAAAATCTATTTCATAAAATCAGAGCAGCCATTTTCAGCCTATTTTTACTCTCTATTTTACTGTCTTGTAGAAATATGTCAAATGTATTTTCATTCAATATAAGATGCACACATAACTAAGGTAAGTTCACACTCAAGGACTCTCTAGGAGGAGAAGGAGAAATGCCTGAGCTGCACAGCAGCACTCAGGAGACTACTGAAAGATGGACAGATGATTATGTGAAGTTAGATGAGAGAAGTATAACCCTGACACTCAGCTGCAGAGTTGAACCACTGCTTTTTCTGCATCTGTCCTTCATAAGCTCAGAGACCGGGAGAAGGAGACAAAAGTTGCTGGTGATTATGGATCATATTCCGTCTCTTGAGGACAAAAACTAACTAAAGATTTATCCAGTGTTCAAAACCCATTCCACACTTTTCACTCTCATCTCTGAGGCGTTTACTCAAGCTCCCCACCACATTAATATTACATTACACTGGGATTTGAATGCCTTGAGCCAACATGGTTTCACATCTAAATGGTTCTTTAACACAGGAGAGGTGCAAAATTAAAGGGATTTATCTCTTCGCCTATGTACAGTTATTCTGTGTGTTTTACTCATGGTGGTGTGAAGTGTGTGTTAAAGCTGCAGTCGGTGAGGTCGCCATGGGTGTGACTCACTGATGCACGTCAGGAAAATAAAGGAATATTAGACTGAAAACTTAAATCCCCCATCAACCGCAGCTATGTCTCCGCTCCTAAGAAAACAAAACTTCATGTAGGCACAAGTACTTGATCTTCAAATAAATGTTCCAATATGTTGGGATTCAGCTGCTTGTCAGCCAGCCATCATTTTCCAAATACAGGCAGGGCTATGATGTTCCATCTTCAGCTGCAACTAATATCTGCTCATCTCTTATTTATTTTCTCAGTTATTTATTTCTAAAAAGTCCGAATATTTTAGAAAATGCCCAGCAGACTTTCTCATAATACAAGGTCATGTCTTCGAATGTTGTTTTGTCCAACCAACAGCCCAAGAGACAAATACATTTATTATCACCGACCAAACCAGAGGATAAACTGAACAATATTACGGACCTGAAAAATATTTTCACCAATGGCAGTTAAAATAGTGAACATTTTTGGATCTCTCCTTAGATTTTATGACCAGAGAGCTTTAATATTCAGATGAAAAAAACATATTCCTAGATAGAAACATTTGAAAAATACAAATAAATAATATATCTTCCTGCTCCGAGGTCGTAATTCACCTCCTTAAATTGATTTACAGACCGCCTGATGATTCTGACACAAGTTGTACACAAGATGTTCATGAACAAAGCTAGTCCTGCACAGTAAATCCCAAAATCACTTTGTTTGCTTGTTCAACTGAAGAAACACAAACATGTTGTCTGACCCACTGAGAGAAGAGTACAACCCTCCTGCTACAAGGCAACGCTCAGTCAGAGAGTTACAAACTCAACAACCTGGACACACTGAAATTTTAACAACATGAGTTCATGTGCAGAGCAGCTCTGCAGTGCAGCAGCTCCAAGAGATGGTTTGGACTCAGAGTTACAACAACATAAAGGCAGTGAGCGTCGTTTCCAAACACAATGCCTGCTGGGAATCTTTTAGTAAACTTAACAAACAGAGACACAAAACAAATAAAAGGAAAAGACTCATTTGCATTCGCTGTAGGTTTGGAACACGGAGAGTGTTAAGTGTAAAAGAAGCAGTGGGAATCAAGTGAAGTAATGAAAATTAGCGAGGCGAGCAGCTCTCCCTGAAGAAATACCACGGACAAACAGGGAATGCAGCAAAGCATGTAGAACAGAAAAGAGTAGAGTGTGGCCGACCAGAAGAGAAGAGAAAGCACAAAGGAATTAGACATGAAACTTCTGAAAATGGAGCAAGTTTATAAAAACCAAGTTTAACATCTGACAAGATACAACCAATAGGAGATAAATAAACTCCCTGTTTTTGTTCAGCAGAGACGCACAAAGCCATGGGAAGGTGAATATGAGAAGCAAAATGAAATGTGGCGTTACCTTGAACAACATAGTGGATTTTTCTGGGTCTCAACATTGTTGGAAACCTTTTGAATATTGTAAGTACACGAGTCAACACAATATATCACAGGTTTTGTTGTTTGATGACATTTTAATGAAGGATTGTTCCCATCTTGAGTCAATTCCTTCTGCGTTTGATGCTACATGCTACATGTAACCACTAAAAAGAGCCTCCTGAGCTGTAAAGTCTCCACACATCCACGTCCAGTATCAGCTATCTGCCATAAACCACCCTCTTATTACTCCACATCAAATCAAGCTATACGAACAGCAGCAGCAGCAGGGAGATGGAGAGACCCCCCAAACACTAGTATACTGTGCTTTTATTGGCAACCTGACATCCTGTCTGACATTGGTGAAATTATCAGGACAGACACTGTTGGAAAATGACACCATCAAATGTTCACATCATCTCAGAGGGAACACGAAGAGTTATGTGTGCGTCTCAGCTTCACTTGTGGCGTTTCAACACGACGCTGGATTTGACAAAGGAGCATTCCGTTGAATTTATCATCCGAGTCGCTGCCCCTGCATGTGTGTCTGTGTGGTTTTTATTTATACTCCTCATAAAAGATAAGATTTGAAATGTCGCCACCTAACAGCTGGAGCCAGCTCTAAAGTAGAGCTTCTAGAACTTGCGGTCGTAACCTCACGCCGGATCGCTTGGTATGCAGGTGGTTTCCCGCTCTGAGCAGGTGATGACACAGAAAATAGGCTGGATGTGGGGGAGTTCCAGCGATGAAAGATAAAAATACAACCCGGGACGTCCAGATCAAGTGAAACGTCTAAATATTTAAAAGGGTTATAAAGCAACGAAAAAAGTACAAAGACGTTTTTAATACTAAGAGACGGGATGTTTTTCTATTCATCCAGTGTTTCGACGATCACGTGGTGGTGCACCGATGATGAAATCTGCAGGAAATATCCTCGCAAGTATTTGAGAGGCAAACGCAGAGCAGAGCCAGGTTCAGTCTTTTAGCCATAAAACCCTGTTTAAATTTCCCATAGAACTTTGCATCTGCATCTAAACTGTGCCAAGACAATTGTTTCGTTACGACTGCCATAAGAATGAAAACTCTTCCGACTGACTTGCATACAGACACAGAGCTGTATCTAAAAGAGGCTTTAATCAAGATAACTGTTAGTACACATGAACAGAGTTCAGACTACAGCTCACTAAGGCCATGGGAAACACTGAAATAATACAATTAGAGTTTTTCACTGGCAGGAAATATGGTCGCAGATCACTAAAGCTGCAGCAGACAAAGCAGGTTGATGGGAAGCAGGTGTGCCAGGACATAACTTGTGACACACAATAACTCTTGGAATGTGTTTCCCATCACAGATTGATGATAAATGACTTTGTGGAAGCATCTGAGGGCGGATCTAGTCTTAAAGAGGGAAAACTGCTGCTCCGCTCTGCTCTCCGACCCCAACTTTAAGCTCCTTCAATAAAGAAGAGACAGACTTTGAAACCATTGAGCTCAGCGCCGGATGGAAGATTTCAGCTCGTTGTCTCCGCCGTCGGAAAATGAAGAATTTTCTTGTGTCAACAAAGTGGTGGAAGGTAAGGGAGTGAGTGTGTGTGTGTGTGTGGTTGTGTAATGTCAGGATGTCCATGCCGTGCAACAACAAATGAACATCACGATAAGGGAGGATGTGTTTGTGTGAGTGTGTGTGAGTGTCATCTTTTGTGGAATGCGTTTATGAATTAGCACAAGTGTGGTGCTGACACTTGTCTACACATAAAGGCGTGTGTGAAGTTTGAAGACGTGTGTGTGTGTTTACAGCTCATGATCAAAGCTCCCTCCCTCCTCGCTGAGAGACTGTGAACCTGAGATGATTAGAAGCCGCAGGAAAACTTAACAAGCTGTCTAAGCCCTGGTCGCCGCCATAATTTTGACTGAATTCTTCAGGAGACACAGCAAGGGACGTGGGTGATGCCTTTCATTTACATAGACGCAAACACAGGCTGAACCAAAGCATAAATCTCCAGCAGGTCCACTAACCACTCGGAACTGTAGGTCGGGTTCATTTCCTGTTCTGGTCTCTCCAAGGTCACGTTTAGGAAGATGTAGTCCCACAGAAGGTAGATGAGCACCTGAAGGCCCCTCGGAGTCTTCTTTTTCCATCACTAAACATTCAGCCTTCTAAAGAGATTGATAATTGCTCCAGGGAAGGAGTATTTTTAGGTACGGCTGAGTTTATCGAATGACTCTGTTCATATTAGTTGGGCTCTTCACTGTGATCGACATTGTTTATCTACACTGATCTGAAATGTCATGGCAAACATTTAGGGAATCACAAATATTGAAAGACAATATTGAATTAAAAGAATTCTAAAAGACATGAAATTATTTTAAATTGATTTTTAAAAATAAAATTGAATAAAATAGAACTTGTGCGGCTGTAAACAAGAGACAAAATATGGGACGGATGGTGACTGCCCTGTGAAGACATCCATTTTCATTTGAACTAGCCTAAACTATATACTTTGACGTTTGCTAGACTTTCACGCACATCGATATGAGGAAAAACAAGTCGGTTATATGAGAGCAGAGTTGAAATGATGCGGCTGTTGGTGTGAACATCATTTAAGATTCAGTAATTACAGAAGCTCTGATAATAATTCAATCAAGCACCATCTCTTTACTTCAGGCACGATAAACGTAGAGGTGGGAGCACCATGGGTGTGTATCACTGCTAATGAAGCCAAATTGCACAATTAACTGCTGTGTACTGTTTTAATCTTATGTGAAGCACAGTTTTGTCTCTGATCCTCCGCATGTATCAACACGTACCTCGATCTGGGAGCTGTTGTCTCTCTCCTCTGCGGAGACCAGGCCCGGGAACCCCTCGGGCTCTTCCTGCTCCGCCTCCTGGTCCTGCTCCTGACTGGCCCTGTTGCTGTCCATGTTCCGAGGTTTCGGGGGGACCCGTCTCCTCCATCTGTGACTGTACAGCTTCACGTCCGCAGCTGCGTCCTCATCCCCTGCCAGCCCCCCCACATACGAGTAAGAGACACCTGAGAGAAAACAGAAGGAGAGAGTCTGTGGATGGTCCAACGCTAAATCACTGTAAAGCTTTCATTTCATTTCAACGTACCACAGGAAGACGCAGATGTATTTTAATTAGTGCAATAATACAGCATGCTTCATTTAATTTCCCAACCACATTAGATTTGAATTATTGAACCCTGTGTCAGTCAAACTGAAAAGGGAAATCTGGCATACAGTGAGTTGTGTCTGCACAATAATTACATGGCACAATATCTTTACTTTCACTTCAGGCACTAGTCAAAGTCACCAAGGCGGCTCAACTTTTGGAGCCATTAATCTTGTGCCGCTCGCTCATAATTCACTGTCTGTGCAGACTTTCTCTCATTGCTTTGGGGAGAAATCTCTCTCGGGCTGAACCAGACGCACATTAGGAATGACTCAGCAGCCGCGACACAGACCAGCGGACCACAGTCGCACCCGTTCATCCCCATCCCCGAGTCTGAGACGAGACGCTGGTGGCAGGTGAGAAATGATGCTTTATGTTCATGTAAACACCGACTTGACTAACTGAGCCGGAGACAGACTGCGAGATAATACGAGAAATGTGCCGCGTCAGTGTGAGTAATAGTTTCCTGAAATGAAAACTAGTCAGAATGAGGAAGAAAAACAACCCTCGACAGTTCAAGACCTTTATACTCCGACTGAGTGGAAGTTATGATTGACGCTGCTGATTTGAATCACTGTGTTCAGCTCAAATCATAAATGTATAGTTTATATTAACCTGTGGCTAAACAATCACGTCTCTTCTGCTCTGTAAGATTCACCTTAAACTCAGTTTAATGTTATTTCACCTCTTCCTCAGAGGTTTTGTTTGTTGATTACACAAAAACTACATATTGGATTTCAAGGAAACCTGGAAGGATGGGACATGAGCCAAGAAAGAACTTCAGTGAGTATGTAGCAAAGGGGCAGATCCTGGGTATTATTTTCACTATTTAACATTGCAACAGTTCTTTTTGCAATTTTCACCAAATCTATGAGTTTGTGCAATTTAGTGCAGCTTCCTGGAATTCTAGTTTGATTAGTTTAGAACAGTTTGTCACATTAGTTCATCTTTTGCAAATGGTTGGTTTAGACTGTCCACAAAAAAAAAAAGCAAGGCTGACATTTTAAAATGTTTTCACTCTTTGGAAAATTCCACTCGGGTTGAAAAAAAGTGGTCCAGCAAAAACAAGATGAAAAAGATGAATTTTCAGATTTTGTTGACATATGGAGCTGCTTTCTTTTTTGACTGATGATGCAACATGCATGTTCCTGCCAACAGCTTTTTCTTTTACAAGGAAGGAAATGCATTTATTGTGTTTGTTGAAGTTACACAGAATGAGTTTTGGCGAGTAACAGTCAATGTAAACATAACGTTTGTTTGCTGGTGAGAAAACTGAGCGATGCACATATGCAGGTTCAGATCGTTTCCTCTGGTTGATGAACAAAACCAGGACAATGAAATCATGATTGATCGTGTGGATTTCACTCAGCTCAACACAATTCAGCTTTTTATACGGAAAACATAAATGTTTTTATCGTGGCCGACTTGACAAAGCAATTTCTCAGCCTTAAATGAGGAAATGAAAGGCTTTACATTCTCCACTTGCTTTGATGGGTTCCTCTTCATCACCTGGATCAGAAATGTTAAAGCTCACAAAGGTGTATTCATGTATTAGACAGCAGATTTGTTCCCCTGCCTTTAATCTAATGCTGTGCAAGCTTAGATAAGCTCCTGTTCCCCATGATCCTAACTGGATGAAATGCAATTAGTAATAACCTTCATTTTCAAAGCAGTACTCCAAATGCAAGGTTTACAGAGTGCTTGCATTTCCTGTGTAAATTATTTTTGCTTTAGGAAAAAAACTGCTGATTCACTATTTCAACTTTGTTCCTTCTTTTAACAGGAGAGGGAGGTCGCTGGGTTTAAATCGCAGGGCACATCTTCCTTCTCTTTCCCCCAATGCCTCTTTTCTCTCATGGTCACATTTCGTTCTCCTTGTCGTCCTCTCTCCTCCTCCTCTTTCTGGGCATCTGACCAGTGGTTCTCAGGAGGGGAGAAAGGGCTCCGTGAGAGCAAGTAGAGAGGCTTAAGATGCTAATTCACCCAAAGTGGAGGCTGACAGATTCACTTTATAATGGGAATCGGCAATGACGAGACAAAGGGGACAATCTGTGCGGAGCAGAAGGTGCAGGGAGGAGAGTAAAAGATGACTGGGACGAATGCAGCAAAACGCTTTGTGGGCCATCATCTCAGACCTCCCTGAAGGACACGTTAGTGCACTGTTTTATGTTATTTTCTTTTATTGCATTTTCTGTATTTCTGAGTTAATTATTCGAATCACCTTGTGAATTTGTGTATGTCCTTGTTCTATTCACTGTCAAAGTCCCCTCTCACCCACTGTAAGACAAGAGCTTGGAGCATGAGTCGGTTCAAGGCTCAAGACCTTATGGGCAGACATTGGGATTCAGCCTCCATCTCCGGCCTTATACTTCCCAACACTCACTCTATTCCTAACGGTCATTAGTCACATCCATGTGAACCAAATCTCCCAGTCAAACTTCCTGTTTTATACTCTAATCCAAGGGGCACCTTCACATTCCGTTCCACTGACACATAAACATCTATTTCCCCCTTAAAGGATGTTTGTCGGTTCCTTAATATACGGTGGAAAGCTGGCAAACAGCGGATACTTTAAAATGCACCATGACCACAACATAGGGGACTTGAATAAATGGCTGCTCTTTTCCCAGCATGCTCCTCTGTCATCATGAGCCCCCCCCCCCATGCACCTGCATTTCTCTTGTGTACAGTCACTGCTCTGACTCAGGAAAGCAGAATATCTTATTATCCAGGGGAAACCCAGGGTCTTTTGTCGAATGTTTTGGGAGGGCAGACCCCTGAGGGACACCTAAAATAACCCCCCGTCAGGACAAGGCTTCTCCTCAGTGCAGGACTGTTCCTCGCCTTTTGTGTGGACACCCCGCCCCCCCCTTACTTTTCTCTCATTGCCTATGAAAGCCCACCACATACCTTCACCCTGACTCTGTCAAGCAGCCTTGTTGGCCGGCTCACGCCTGTCAACACCTCTGATTCACAAACACCACAGGGACTGTAATGTGGTTGCACCTAAAACCTTTCAAGAACGTTCAGGAGGTCATAAAACCGCAGAATAAAAGGTGCTGTCTGCAACACTTCTTTCAGTCGGTTTCCGCTCGTTACCCCCCGGTTCTCTCTCTTGGTTCCCACCTGACAGGAGACTACCACACATGACTGACTGAGGAGGAGGAGGAGGAGGAGGAGGAGGAGGAGAAGGAGGAATGGGAATGCTTCATTGCGATTTCTTCAGAACAAAGGATAAAAGAATGAGTCACATCCCGGTTCCTCAGCCTTTCTATCTCAGGGTGTCAGATTGCTTAATGTAGTGCCCACAGAAAGCTGCTTTATCAGTGCAGCAGCAGACCCTGGCAAGCACCGTGGAGCAGAGTCTCTCTCTCTGGGTGCGAAACAGTCGACTCTTTGCCAATCACCTCAGCGGGGTCAACGCAGATTGAGTTGCTCTAACTGTTGGTGAAGCTCCCACATCTTTCAGGGACTGCCCTTATTTCCACTTGAATATAACAGAAAGGATCATTTAGGTGATGGATGGTGCAACGCCACTCAACAAATTAGACGGTATCTCTCCAGGTCGTGAGAGGAGAACTTTGCCATCTTTCCATTCGGTCTTTTCATTAGCTTAAGATTCATTGGGGACATTTGTCAGGAGAAGCACTCCGCCACTTTGTCACACACACATTTACGAATTCGGGAATACCAGCCAACAATGAAGTAGAACTAAAAACACGGCACAAAAATCCCTCTTCTCCTGCCTCAGGAGGATTCATTTTAATGATCTCATACTAACATACAGAGCACTCCATCAGGTCACTTGGGTCTTCTGACCAGGGCTTACTGGTTTTTCCTTGCAATCTACGAAAAAACAAAACAAAAAATACTAATTTGTCGCAAGAAAAACATTTCCCAGAGACTAATGCGACAAATTTGACCTCTCTGATTATTGACCTAAAACAAAAAAATATCACATTCAGAATGAAAATTCTGAAAATGTTTTTTAATTGATTATTTGATTCTTCATTGTGCTGAATAACAAAAATATAAATAAAGAGTCAACAGATTTCCAATTATCGGAGGAACAATGTGTGTTTGACACTGACAAGCCAAATTATGCACAGGGTCACGTCATCTCAAGAGCTGTGAGAACAGAGACTGAAAACCACTGAAAACCTGAGTGTTATCAGTGACAGATAAGATAAATCTTTCAACTTAACTTATTAGTTAATAAACTGGCTTTAATAGGAGTTAATGAAAACAAGATACGCGTTAAACAAGCTTCTCTATCTCGTATGTGTTAATAAATGAAACTGGTAACATACAGCAAATAACCCTCAAAACAACCACAGCTTCATTTTCATATTAATTGAATATTTAAAATGCAAAACACGTTTGACAACAAGTCATCTGTTGGCAGAGCTTTCAAATAAAAACAATGAAGAGTTCTGCTGCAGAAGTCCACGCAATTCCCAGACGTCTGTGTGAAATTGTTATGCAGAGCGAGGTCTGTGTCTCTAACCTGCCGTGGCTTGCTTTTTACACATCCTCTCTTAAAATCGCAGCCTGTCATTAGGCAAGCACATAAAATTGAAGAGCTGACTGCAAGAGAAAGTTAAACGCAGGTAGCCAGAGAGGCAGCACCTGTAAAGTAGATCCAGCTTCAAACGATGAGCAGGAGAACTTAATTACAGTAGATCAAATGTGAGAGTTGCATCTACATCTCAGATAAGCAGCGTACGAGACGAGTTTAGACGTGACTTTAAATAGTGCACAGTACAGAGGGAGGGCCGTGCACAAGAACAACACGCACACAAAGGCCTCTGTAATTCAACGATATCCAGCTTTCCCTGCAAAATGGAAGGCAGCCTCCCC